GAGCTATGGCTGTCACCATGCTTCCTGGCTTTGGTTCCCTCTCCCACCTTGGGAGGTGAATTTTCTTTCTCCCTTTTCTCTCTCTAACTTACTTTTAAATAAACTCTTCTTTCATAACCTTTTTGTGTGTTGCAATTCTCTGCACTTACTTGGCTCTCTGGGTTACTGGTGCGGCGTCCCTCCTCGCCTCTCCACCTCTCCAGCAATCCACCCTAACCCTGTCCAGACCCTAACAGCCCTGAACTAGCCGGAATTCAGGTTGTGTCTGCGGATGCTACCAACTGTACTTGTATTTGGTTGGACTGGAACTACAGTTCAGTCATGATGTAAGTGAATGAGCCAAGTAGAGACCTGGCAAAATGCTGATAATTGTTGAAACTGGGTATTGGATTCATGAGGGGGTTCATTTTGCTACCCTCCCCACTGCAGTGTATAGCTGAACTCTTCTACAATGTAAAGTGTTTAGACGGTAGCTCCTAAAAAGTCGTTTGGGGTCATCTGCCATCCTTAACCATACTGCTACCTGGATTTCAGGAAGTAGTCCAGAGAGCTGCCTCTGCAGCCAGCTTCAAAACACAGGGCACCTGCTCGGCAGTGAGGCTGCCTTGAAACACCTCACCTGAGCAGCTGTTCTAGCAACAGAGGGCATGGGGAAATAGCCAGGTTTATAAAAGTCACACACAAAAATTCCAGTGACCCATTCCGGGGGCAGGGTGCTTTCAGTTATGTATAATGTAGAAAGAAATGGGCCAGGCACAGCGGCTCACGCCTGGAATCCCAGCACTTTGGGAGGTAGAGGTGAGATGATTACCTGAGCTCAGGGGTGCAACGCAGTGAGACCTCGTCTCTACATTAAATAAAAAAAAAAAAAAACAGTCGGGCCCAGTGGCACATGCCCATGGTTCCAGCTACTTGGAAGGCTGAGGCGGAAGGATGACCTGAGCCCAGCAGGTCGAGGCTGCGGTGGCCATGAGCATGTCCCTGTACTCCAGCCTGGGCGACAGAGTGAGACTCCAACTCAAAACACACACACACACACACACACACACACACACACACACACACAACTGAATAGGACCAGATGCACAAAAAAATAATCTAAACCGCTGACCAGCCTCCAAAATCAAACTTTTCAAAAAGTGGCTCTTCCAACTGCCCGAGACACAGGTCCACAGGCCTGTTTTATAGACACCCAGGCCCACCTCCCGCCTCACTTTCCTTTCTTTTTCCAGTGCGCGGACTATCATGGCCGTGCTTTGGAAAGGCCACCTCGCTTTCAAGCCACAAACCAGGAGGCATGATGGACACCCAGAACTCACCACCACGCCCACGTGGCCAAGTCTCTATCATGCCTGCCGCTCTTCTCCCTCCACATCCAGGAGGCAGCACTGCGCAAGCACTGGCCAAGGGTTGGCAAGCTTATCACCAGACGCCTTCCAAGCATTAAGCGCCAAGTCTCAAACCCTATCAAAGAAGGGCCATGGCCTGTCCACCTCGGGGGAGAAAGAGAAAAGCTTATGGAAAGCTGTACTTGTAGAAATTCTTCTCCATTGTAAAAGATCACCCCCGTCACTCCTGACAAAAAGTGAATGTTGGATTCCTTTTAGGAAGCAACTTCAGGAGATGACAAGGCACACCAACTCCCTGCCTACCTTTTCTGATAAATCTCACTCCTTCATTCCTCTACCCACCCATTTCTCCAGCAATTGCTGGTTGCACGCCTAGTGTGTGGCAGGTGCTGAGGACTGAGCAGACGCCGCTGAGGCTCAGGAGACCTAGGGCACGTTCGGGAAGGTAGACATAAACACACGACTGTAGCTCAGAAGAGCCTGTAAAGATGTGGCAGAGAGGGCACCTCTCCATGTGGGGGCTGCTGCTGGGAAGGAGCCGCCCAGTCAGACCCCAGGCTTCCTAAGCCCCCCTGCCCTAAAGCCCAGCAGGCCGGAACGGAAGGCACGTGTGTTGCTTCCGGGCCCAGGGCATAAGTAGGTATGCCTTCTCTTCGCTTTCTCTTTCTGCCAAAGAACTGGAGGCAAAGAACTCTGAGATCCTAGGGCAGGGGCTGGCAAACTGGGCCAGAGGCCTGTTTCTGTAGTGTGTGTCCAGAACACAGTTACACCCATCCACATACACAGTCCCCGTGGCTGCTTCCCACTACAGCACAGAGTTGTGCAGTTGCAACACAGATTAGATGGCCCACAGGCCTATAAGACTATCTGGCTCTGTAAGAAAAAGCATGCTGAGCTCTGGGTGAAGCCACGAAATGGTAAGAACCTGGGTCCCCTGCCGCTAGAAGACCCATAACACACTGCTATATGGGTAAGAAACAGACTTCTGATGTGTTAACGACAGCTGGTGTGGTCCTAGCTCCTACAGCGAGGGAAGCACAACCCACGAGAAAGCAGAGCAGACCAGTGGTCAAAGCCAGTCTCCACTATACTTTCCTCTTCTTTTAAAATAAAGTCAGGCTCTCACTATGGTTCCCAGGTTGGTCATGAACTCCTGGGCTCAAGCAATCCTCCCACCTCAGCCTCCCAGAATGCTGGGATTACAGGCCTGAGCACCACACCTGGCCTACACTTTCCTTTTGTTACCACAACATTTGGGCCCTGGCATTAACGCCAATGTCGTGAATGTTTTAAAGTGCCATCGTTTTTCAAAGGGTTCCAAGAGGATGATCTCCCATTCAGTAAAGTTAATTAAGTCCAAGAATGTTTGCAATTGAAATCTTTCTCTTGTAAGACAACACACCTTTCTAATCTGTAGCAGTGCCTCCATTTCTAACTAGAGAATACGTTCAGCCAGATTTCTAAAAACAACACTGCACACCACACAAAGACCTCAGGCTAAAACACACTTTTCCTCGGTAGTACTGGAACCATTCTAAACAAGGTAAGGCTAAGAACGAAACAGGATATAAAATGGTCAGAGTCGCTCAAACAGCCATCAGGAAGACTAAGATAGCAGAGAGCAATGTGCTTGGATTAGACGTGTCAGTCTGTGAGAGCATTAAAGTACTTGTTCTCTACAGAGTCAAATACCTTAATCCCAGGCACCAGGGGCAAGACACCTACCTTAAAAGCACAAGTTAGTCCTGCATTGCTCCACCACTCACCAGCTGTATGATTTTGGGTTTAGCCTCTCTGGGCCGCCATCCTCGTAAGCACATATACCCTAACCAGTTAGGGCTGTGATGAGGACTGAATGAGACAAGGTACCCAATACGTAGCTCACTGCAGGTGCTCAGCATAGTGCTGCCTTCACTGTTTCAGGGACCCATCAAAGTAACCAGACCGTGCCATACACTAAAACCCCGTTCTACCAGCATCCTGTGTAGTCAGTAAACTCCTGACACACAGTAGTCATTGGGCGAACACAAAAGACTGGATGAATATTAAAATCTTCCCAAGACAAGTAAGTGCTCAAACCAGTGTAGACTCATTGCCACTGGCAGTCATCAGGCATAGAGTTAACACAGCACCCTTTCCTTTGCCAGATTTAGAACCGGCTTACTTACAGAGTGTGCACCCAGGTAGTCACAGCACCGTCCTATCAAAAAAACACTTAGCAACCATGCACCCATCACTTTGGTTCCACTTCATTCATTAATGCTAAGGTTAAGGGTGCTACACCCTCAAGATTCAACATCAGCTTCTCTTAAAAAAGAAACACATTGCCAGTGGAAGAAGAAAAAGTCCAGACTGCAAAATACATGATCGCATTAAGCCAAAACAACAGGAGCCAGCAAGTATGCATGTATGTGATGTCTGCACTACGTGGACGGAAATCAGTATTAAACAAAAAACTGGATCTATTCCACATCATTAACTGTAATTCCCTCTCACTAATGATAAAAAAATTTTTCTTGGGGTTTGTGCTTTTCCAACATTAGCCATGTACTTATTTTCAACAAAGAAAGAAGTTAACAAAATTTTAAAGCCAACAGTATTTTGGACCCTGAAAGATTTCATCTCATTTTTTTGCAACAAAAAGAAATCATGCTGCCATTTTTAAGATGTTCTTATTTAAATAGAGCGGAGAACGAACCTATTCATTTAACAGAGAAACCCAACCCACTATGGACTTGAAAAGCTAAAGATTAAAACCGATCAGTAAGGTTCAAAACTGTGTCGGGAGGTTTAAGGAGCTCCCTTTTCTACACCTCAGGGAACACAGGGGCTGCTCCTGGCAGGCCAAGGCGTGAGCTTTCTGCGGGGGTGTCACGGAGCAGGAAGAAGAGTGCATGCCAGGGCCAAGTCCACCTCTAGGACTTGAGTAAGGACCAAGAAAACTTGATAAGTAGTGATCTTCTCAGAGCCAGAGCCTCCTCACACGTCAACGGGAAGCGTCCAGCTCCTCGGGTGACTGTGAAGTTGAGTTAGATCACTTTTATGAAGCAGTGGTCTCTAAACTTGTCTGATTCCACACCCCATCTGTAAAAACATGCTGTCAGCCTGTATCCACAGGGTCCACATCCACGGAGTCAACCAACCTCAGATGGAAAATATTTAAAAATAAAAATAACAACACAACAGTAAAAATACACATTTAAAAATATAGCAAAACAATCATTTGCACAGCATTTACACTGTATTAGGTATGAGAAATAATCCAGAGACGGTTTTAGGCACACAGGAGGACATGCAGAGGCTACGTGTAGATACCACAGCATTTCATACCAGGGACTTGAGAATCCTAGGGCTCAACCACAACAAATCCTCAGTAAGTAGCAAATTCCTGGCAAGTTTACAGACTGAAATTGGAACTGAATGCAAATGCTACCCTCTAAATCCATGGAGATTTCTGAAAAACTCCTTGGTGAATCCACAAAATCTGAGCTAGAATGAGGTTGGTGAGTCTCTTGGGTGCCTGGAGAGTGAGGAGGGTCCAAGATCTTAAAAACACTATGCAAAAACAACTAACCAGAACATGCAAGTTGGATCTAAAACAAAGCTCCACATGGAAGCGTGTGGGTCAGGCAGCTGCCGGAGGAGGCTTACCTTCAGTATTTCAGGTTCTTTGATGTCCAGAGATCTTGTCTTGCAGGGTTGCAGACTTTTATGTAACTTGTGATATTTATGAGCACTTGGTGGTGTACAAAACCAAATCACACAGACGGCAGTCATGAACCCGAGGCCCACTCCCAGGAAGAGCCCACTTGCGTAGAGGGGTAGCGGGAGGATGAGGTACGCATAGACACACAGCACGAAGAAGCCCAGTGTCTTCACAGGCAGTTCCAGGTGCCGCACGGCCAATTCCGCCTCGTCGTCACTGTCAAGGCCCACACCGTCATCCGTGAGCACTGCTGGCTGAAGAGGGGTGTCTGGGGGCTGGTCAGCTCTGCTCTCCCCCTCCGTGTCCACGTCAAAGTCCTCAGTGTACAGTTCACAGAACTCTTCATCTTCTTTGCTTACTAAGGCCGACAGGGAACATTTCTCCAGGACTAGTGAGCCTGTCTTCAGGCCCAAGTCCTTCAGACCACTTGCCGGGGCGCCTCTTGGCTCCGCCTCTTTCATGGGCTCGTCAGTGGGCCTCGGGAGATCGCTTCTGGGGACGTTGGAGTCGCTCACGTAGCCGTCCCCCTCGGAGTCACACTCCTCCTCCTTGATGCTATAGCTGTGGCTGCTGTCCAAGTGCCCGTTGAGGCTGGACAGGTTGGAGAGCTCCGACGCGCTCGAGGACAAGGCTTTGGGCCTGTGGCTGCCACCCTCCTCCCCCATGATCTTACTGAGGAGCTGGAAAGGCTCATAGATGACCTCCGAGAGGCGACGCTTGGTGTCTTCGATCTTCGCCTCCATCTCGGGCACTTTAAAAAAGGAGCGGGTATCGCTGGGAGAAGTGAGAGGGGAGGACGGGGCCGTTTTGGAATCTCCACCTGTGCTTCGTGGCTGGGTGAACTGCTTGAACAGGTGCAAGTGCAGCTTGGAGTCAGGGGGCCTAGAGGACACAGCCTCCGAATCCTGCCGGGAAGTGTCTGTGGACAGAGACTTGACCAGTGTCTTCATCAAGTGCCTGTGCCGCGGCGGGGCTGGGGACTCTTTCGGCTCCCCCTCGGTGGACAGGGACTTCACAAGGCTTATGAAGGGCTTCGCACTAGAAAGAGCAGAGGCCGAGGCACTGGATGAGAGCACAGGAGACCTGGAGGGCGAGGACAGCGGGGAGGAGGAGCTGGTCTTCTGCTCGGAAAGGGACGACACGCTGGGAGAGCTGGCGAAGGGCCCCGAGGAAGACGACCCTGGGGAAAGGGCCGCTGGCACTGTGCTTAATACCCGCGCCGTTGGAAGAGGGGATTCCAACAGCGTGACAGTGTTCCTGGAGATAGGTGAGGCGGCAGGGGCCTGGGACTCGGACCATCTGCCAGCCAGGGCGGGCGAGACAGCCTGGCCAGCGGGGTCATGGCCAGCCCCGGACTCAAGGCAGAGGTCCTCCTTGGCTTCAAGCCCTGTCACAATGCTTCGGTCATCCAGCCCCTCTGCAAGGTACTCCCCGAACTCCTCTTCCTCCTCCTCCTCCTCCTCCCCTGACGCAAGGAAGTGAATAGCGAGGGTGTCTCGGGACACAGATCTCTGCACATGCACTTTCGGGGCTGATGGCTTTGGCATGTCAAGGGTTTTCTCAGCATGGCGACCATTCAGACTTGTCATCGCTGGCTTCACAAGGGCTCAGGCTCTGTGGAACAGGGAAAAACCAGAAGTCAGAGAGCAGGACCCACAGGCGACACGCCCTGCGGGCAGGAGCATGCACCACACTCAGCATCATGCTTTTACCTGTCAGAGCCACCACTTTTCCCTGCATTGGGTTAATGGCTCATTTCCACTAGCCATTCTGTCTTACAAGTAAACCACACGCAGTGTCATAAACGCACAGTCTGTCTCACTTCTGACCCCTGAATACCGTCTACTGGCTCATTCCTATCAGCAAGTCTCCACTTCAAGGCCCGAGATACCCAAGGGACAGTCGCCAACACCACTTCCGAAGTCAACAGGACATGCAGCACCTGGTGATGTGAAAGGCTGGGACAGAACTGTCACCAGGTCTTCCAGCTGTGCCAGGCTGGCCCAAGGTGCCACTTCCCCTGGAGCCCCCAACAGGGCTGACATCACTGGGCTCCCAGCCCCTGTGCCCTCACAAATAAACAGCAAAGCTTCCAAGTGCGGACGTCTGTGAGGGAACGGCCACACCAAACGGGAGGGGCCACCAGACCTGAGGATCTCAGCAGCCATGAAGACAGGGCTGTGTTCTGAGGCCTCAGGACAAGGCAAACTTCTACTTTAAACCGAGGCCAAGATTCCACAGCAGGTAACCACCGTCAACCAAAAACTACACAGAGGACAGAGAGAGCACCATGTAAGCCCGGCCTTCCAGAGCTTCACAGCTACTGGTTCTTTTCTAGAGCTCAGCTGAAGAGAAGACAGATGCCCGAAAAGCTGAGCAGAACCAGAGCTCAAGTCTTTGGAGATGAACACAACTGGGACAGAGACCCTGTCAAGAGAGCCAAGATACAGGGCAGACTCAGGAGTGCTGAGGAGGGCGGGACCAGGGTGGGGTGCAGGACACCACCTGGTCCTTGGAACAGACGATGAACTATGACAGAAGGGGCACGGGGTCAGGAGGGAGGAAACAAGGCATGGAGACGGCCATGGGCACGATGCAAGCAGTCACCTGGCTCTATTCCACCCTAGGACAGAGGGTGGGCATGGAGGCCACCAGGACAAGAGAGGCCTCACAGGACAGAGGAAAGGAAGGCCAGGGACAGGAAGTCAGGCTCAGGAACTTGCTCCTTTCCACTGACTCTGTGGGGCCTTGAACAAGCCATGGCCACTCCGGGTCTCAGTATCATCACCTGTGAAACAAGGCCTCTCAAGTCCTTTCCACATTTATGTTGCAGGAGATTGTACACAACCCCATAAAACCTTATGAATAAGCTACCACAATCAGTGTGATGTTGCTTGCGTATTTCTTTACTCTGAAGAGCCCTACATTTAAGCCTTCTGCCACGTGTTCATGCTCAAAATGCTAGTGGCTGATCCCGTCAACAAGCGAGAGCATAAAACAGGGGCCAGGGGTGGCTTGGAAAACCGCGATCCTGGTCACTAGGAGGAGAAAACACTCTAACAGTGACAAGCACTGGGGCTCATGGGCCCAGTCTCACACGGAGTCATCTGAAGCCGCATGTGTTCAGTACCAAACACTTGCAGGAAATGACCTTCATGGAAACTTTCACAGAGTTCTGCCCATGCTCTCTGTGACCCTAAGGTCCCAGCCCCACCGATCCAGGAAAAAGAATGCTCTATCCACCAACAAAGCAATCTGGATCCAGGAACTGGCAGCAGCTGGACAGACCCTGACTTAGGGCCAGGACAGCCCTGGCCTGTTCACTGCAGGCTAACAGGTATGTAGGCTTAGTGGGAAGAAAAATACCAGAACCTATGCCCTTCACGCAACCATCACCCATTTCATAAGGGTCATTTAAACAGAAAATCATCGAGGTAATTTACAAAGAAAGTTTGGTGCTTGATAAGTCTCCGTCGGCAGAAACACAAACCCATGTAAATGGCTTTAATAGCATGAAGGATCACAAGTAAGCTGCTGTTCTGGATTGTTCACGGGTGCGGTGGCCGCGCTGCTGCAGGCACCAGTCCAAGCACAAAGTCCACAGCTGGGAGGCTGAACGAGGGTGCTGGTCTTCTGGGAAGTGAGGCGAGAGTGCAGAGGCCGAGAGGGCCTGGGGGCCCGGGGCAGTCAGGCTCGGCCCAGGGCCAAGGGGAGAAGACGGCCAAGCGTCCGGAGGCCTGTGGTCTCCATGGCAAGGCCGGGCTCCAGGCCCTGCTCCGCAAGAGGGCTCTTCAATGCGGAGGCCACCAGTGGCCTGCCTGCCCCGCGCTCTCGGGTCCCCAACTTGCCTGTGAAAGGGACCTCTGCTGACCTCTGACTGAACCGTCTCAAGGTCTGTGTCAGCAACGCCCGACGTCAGGTGCCAGGAGCCAGGAGCCAGGCGCCAGGCAGGACGGGCAGGCTGGCCCACATGACTGGCATTCTCAGGGCCCAAGCGGCAGCCTCAGAGGGTCACGGGAAAGGCCTCCCGATCCACATCGGCTGAAGCCTGGAGCCACTTCCCTAGATTTTCGCTAAAAGGAGCCACATAAGGAGGGAGCACAGCTGCAGCTCTTCAAATGCCAGAGACCCCCCAGGCCTCTGCTCACCAGCAAAGCGGGGGGACGAGGCTAGACAAGGCTGCCCGGGACCCACAGCAGGACGAGTGTGTGGGCTGCAGAGGGCACGACCAGGGTTCTAGACCCTCGTCGGCGGTCACGCCCCTCCCTCTGTCCTCCGGACGCTGGCTGCAAGGGCCGACAGGGCCCACCCTCCCGCAGCCCCCACACACAGCCACGTCCAAGGGAAAGCCTGAGGAAAGCAGCTCACCTCTCTCACCAAGACGGAGGAGGCCTCTAACAGGGTTTCTCTCTCCAGGATGCATGCAGGACCCTATTCTACCCAGTCTACAAAAAAGAAACAAGTCAACAGCTTCCACCTAACTTGAACTCAAGGGCTCGCACGGAAGCCAGCCGCCCTCCCACCACGAACTCCACAAGCCACCACCAGCTAGCCAGAGTGAGGCACCAAACATCAGTGAAGTTTATCTCTGGTCACCCCGAAAGGTTATCATCATTAACTAGGCCATGAAAAGCCAATCAACAATACATCAGACTGCAAAAAACAAAGAGCGATTTCAAGGTCATGTTGGCATTTATTAATTCAGAGATAACCTCTCTAAATCTGGATTGCTTTGTTTTTTGTTTTTTCCCTTTGACCTCATTCTTTAATAATAACTGCCCTTCCTGTCTCCACCTGTATTTGAAACAGTTCTGGGTCCCACAAGTGGAGCCGTACACAGAGATCACAGTTTCTTCCAGGCTGCTCACTTTCGACCAACACGCGTGCTTGGTCCTCCACTCTAGGCCAGACGAATAGAAATGTGGCTGTAGGTCGGGCTCGGTGGTTCAGGCTGTAATCCCAGCACTTTGGGAGCCCACAGGTTTGAGACCAGCCTGGGCAACTTGACGAGACCTCATCTCTACAGTAAATAAAAAATTAACCAGGCATGGTAGTGTATGCCTGCAGTTCCTGCTACTTGGAAGGCTGTGGCAGAAGGATTGCCGGAGCCCAGCAGGTCGACTCTGGTGCGGCTGTGAGCATGCTACTGCACTCCAGCCTGGGTGATGGAGTGAGACTCCAACTCAAAAAAAAAAAAAAAGAAGTGTGGCTGTTGTTATTGTTTCTAACTCACAGGCAAGATGAAAGGGAGTGGTGGAGGGAGGGAGGAGAGACGGAAAGAGGAGGGCAGGGAAGAGAGCAGCTCGTACTGACCGTGGAGCTGGCCTTCGCATCCGGTGTCTGGAGACACAAGTCCGGGGAATGTGCCTCATTTCGCACGAGCACTCCGAAACGTCGAGGTCACTATTAACTTTCCTTGGCATTTGCTGCCTCTGTGCAGTCTTGCCTGTGGACATGTGATATATGACCACTATCTGCTAGCTTGGGCTGTGTCAGTCAACGGTTTGTTTTTTTGAATTGGAGCCTCACTCTGTCACCCAGACTGGAGTGTAGTGGCCACTCCCAGCCACTGCTGCCTCGACCTGCAGAGCTCCAGCGCTCCTTCCGCCCCAGCCTTCCAAGTGGCTGGAACTACAGGCACGTACTACCACGCCTGGCTAATTTTTTATGTATTATAGAGAAGAGGTCTAGCCAAGTTGCCCAGGCTGGTCTCAAACCCGCGGGCTCAGGTAATCCACTCACCTCGGCCTCCCAAAGCGCTGGGATTACAGGCTGAGCCACCAAGCCCGGCAGTCAACAGTTTTAACCCAAAAACAACTCTTGGGGAAAAGAGGCAGGCTGCACTCTAGTGCAGAGGATTTCTTAACACCTCTCATCTGTGCTTTTTGTAGGAGCTTGTCTTGTAAAAAGGGAGAAAGGCTGTAGGACGCTATGTTTTTCTGCCTTGATGCTGCGGAGCAAACAGTGAATCTGGTCAAAACCAACCACAGCAGAAAGGCCTGATTTAGCCTAAAATCTCAAGTACATCTTAACAGTGATCCCGATTCATTTAAATTCAAGGAAGCAGCTGAGAATTGTCAGCAGCATTATAATCTGTTAACACTCTAGCTCACAAGCAAAAATCAATATTGACATGATAGGTAATGAACTGAAAGAAAAAGACAAGACTATATTTTCTGCACCGGTCAGAAACTCAGAGCTCCCGTCCTAGTCATTGTGTGATTCCCAGTCCCACACTCTCCTCTGCCAGCCCGCAGGACCCCGTGCCACGGCCAACACAGTCCAGGAAACAGGCAGACCAGCCCCTTCATTGTCACATGGACTTTCATCTGCCCCAAAGAAGGCCAGCACGGAAGAGGACCACATCCCAGAGGAGAACAGTGCCCAAGAACATCAGCACATGAGACTGCTGATGCCTGGGAGGTTCTCGTGATGAGATCACATTCACGTCACAGCGGCTCCTGGAAAACCAGGTCATGTCTCCAGCACAGCCACACAAGGCCTGCGGAGGTTTGCAAAGAGGAGGAAAATGCAAAATGACATCTACACGCAGGTACAAGCACCCCAGACTAAGCTGTGAAACTCAGGATGGGTGGGTCCAAGGTAGAT